ACTTGATTATATTTCACAAATCTATCTCTTGCCAATCATACAATCGTTAACATGCAGGCACTTAATATGAATACTTTATGTGTTGGCGTTGATGAATTTAAGTAATTTGGTAATACATTTATGAAAGCCATAAGTCAAACCCTCTGGAGCATGAACAGATGGTTTTTCAGAGTAGATGAGCGAAGTAGATTGCTTTATTGTTGTAGATAATTAATGAGATGTTGCTTTTTACATCTACAATATATTGTAATAGCTAAGAGGGTTTTGTTTAATGTGAGGCAGAAATGTGAATGAGGGCAACATATAATAGGATCAGAGAGAGAGAGAGGGGGGAGGGGGAGAGAGGGGGGAGAGAGAGAGAGAGAGAGAGAGATAGAGAGAGAAGAGAGAAGAGAGAAAAAGAGAGAGAGAGAGAGAGAGAGAGAAGAGAGAAAAAGAGAGAAAGAGAGGGAGAGAGAGAGAAAGAGAGAGAAGGTGTGTTGCTAATGCAAGAAAAAGTAGTTAGAAAGAGACACAATTAAGAGATGGGCTTACATGTACATGCTTGAGAAAGCGCAAAAAGACTAATATTACAAGCCTACTTTTGCACCTTTATTATCAAACTTATGTAAACAATCCAAATATTAAATGGAAGGTACCAATTCATAAAATAAACTCTACAAACAGAAGAAATATGTACAAGACATTCCATTCATTTCAGTAATAGGAAAGGCCTACGCATACAGTGCGAATCACAAAGGGGTGTGTTTACTTTTCAACAATAGCTAACAATAGGACAGAACTTCACCTAGATTGTTTTCACAGGGAATAAAGAAAAAAAGCAAGGAATACAAAGGTGCAAGTTCTTTATCGCGGAGTAAGGGCAACGTTCCAAGATGGTGGTGAAAGTCAGTGACATGACAATAGACCTACATGTACATGGCATGACTCAGATACATTACATGTATTATGATAATCACTGGTGGATTAGTGGGGTAGGGGCAAACTTACCCCCTTCTCCTTTGAACCCCCCCCCCCCCCCAAAAAAAAAAAAATGGATAAAAATCCCCCAAAAGAACCCCAAAGGCTCTTGGAAGATGTCAAAACTTAGACCACCCCCCCCCCCCCCCCCCCCCGTTTTTTTGCCTGTCAACAAATTTTGAAATTCACTCTCGATCTGCCCCTGGTTATGACTGGCAGACCTATGAAAAACCAAAGACCCCCCCCCCCCCCCCCCCCACACAAAAAAAATCAACAAACAATTACAAAATATGGTTAACTTACTGATATAATTGGTTTCTATTTGACCTTTGGGCAATTCCACGGTAACGGAAGGACACTCAGACAAGATTTTTGAACTTCAGGTTCATACTAAAAGAAATGTTTTATTAGTATGTATTAAACTATGGGGAACAAAATGTGTTTCAGTCAAGTGGAAAGCTTCATCAACTTCACAAAGTTTGGATAAACACTAATTAACTGGAAAAACCATGTCCATTTTTATGTCCTTCCGTTACCGAGATAATTAATAGGCACATTCTTACACTACTTAACTATAATGACAATTTTTTGGGGGAGAATTAAAGGCACTTATATAGGTATTATATCTGTACTGTTTCACATCTTATACTAATAAAACAGTTCTTTTAGTATGAACCTGAAGTTCAAAAATCTTGTCTGAGTGTCCTTCCGTTACCGTGGAATTGCCCCTTTCTCACATGTTTTACAAAACCACTTCCTGCCTTGACGACTATAATAATACTGTGAGTGACCTCTGTTATTTCTATTTCTGGTTGAAGAGCTTCATTGTGTTTGGAAATATGGGTTAAAAATCATATTCACGTTTCCAAAAGAAAATAAGAAATATGGGAAGTGTATTACTGTACATATTTTCATTTTCTTACTGAAGAGTGAAGATATTTATCAAGAAAATATCATTTGATTTCCAGTCATTTATCAATTTAAGTAGAAATGTTGCACTTTCGTATCATCTCTGCTTGATCATACAGGCTATTGGCAACTCAAAACCTGTACTATGTAGTACTTACTACTTAGCAGTCAATACACAACTAATTCAGTGACAATTGCTTCCTGTATTGCACACAAGTGCTATTGAGACCGAGAAATAACCTGATAATTGAGTATAATTATCGACCTAGGGGCCTCGATCGATGACCTTCAGAGATTCATATGGATCAATGTCACATGAATTTGACTGATAAATTCATGAAAAGAACATTCATTCTTGCAGAATAATAGGAGAAGAGACATTTGATAGAGATCTCATTCAATTTCCTTTATAAAAAGGTGACAAATCCACATGATTTCCAATATTATTGTCCTCAAGCAATTTTTTAAATGTTGTCTTGCCACTATAGAGGATTGCTTTCGCTGTGATCACATATTGGAGCACGATTCAATATGCAGAATAGCACAGTTAATTTTGTTCTTTAAAGATCATAATTCAAAAACAGATTTAATATTTTGGAGGAGGAAAGAGCCCTATTCTTTCATATTTCTCTTTAATGTTTTTTTTTCTTCATTTATTTATTTATTATTTTATTTATCTTCCTCTGGACTTCTGACTGCATTTGCATTAGTTCTAAATAAGAGAGGAACAGTGCCCGTCAAACAAAAATAAAAAATTACCCTCTTTTGTAATCTTGAATCTCATGACTCAAACTAAGTTTCACATGACCACTCGTGGCCTCCATCCCCCTCCCTCCTCCCCCAGTCCCTCACCACCTCCTTCCCAAAATAATCTAATATATTTAAATTAAGACATTGATATGATTAAATGGATTCAAATATATATACAGCAAATTATTTTTAGATAAACACTGAGGGTCATAAGGTGGTATTTTTAAACATACAGATTTTGGTTTTGGTATCAGGATTGTGTCTATCTCGGGTTCTGTTAAGCAATACTCATAATACACTTTTAATAATTGATATACTTTTACTATACTTAAAAAATACTTATTCCTGCTCTTTTTAAGGGAGTGCAAAACAGCTTCTAAAAGTCTTTAAAAAACAATATATTTATTCAGAGTCACTTTTGATATACTTTTAATGTACTTTAAATATCGTTTTTTCTTCTGTTTCTATGGGATTGCAAAAACAGCTTCCAAAAGTCAGTAACATTCTTCTACTGTGTACAAAAAACGAAATGTATTCAAAAATTGCAATTAAATGTAAACACTTTGCTTTCTTATTTTATTAAATGAACTACATGTAGGTGTCAAGAAAAGGAGAATACATGGTTTCTCATTTACAACTGCCGATTGTATTGCTTTAGAGGTATACCTTGTGTGCGGGTAAGCATGAATCCGATGACCGGGGTAATAATATATATCTGTAAAGCGCATTGAGAGCGCCTGCGGTCCTGAAATGCGCTATATAAGGACGAACTATTACTATTAACTATCATTATTATTATCAAATTAGTGTTTTATCGGTTTTCTGATAACTATCCACTTAAAAAATACCCTTTGTATCTATATCTTCTTATTGTGTATGTATACATGGGGGTTTCCCCCTTGAAATGCACATGCACATGTTCCTACAAGTTGGAACAAGTCTATACTTTTGATTTCAGTAAAAGAATTTAATACAGATCTCAAATATAAGATACATAACCTAAATATCCATTTCATCACTGATCTTGTTTGTACATATCTTCAATATTAAATAATGATGTGAAAGATTATCTTGAACAAACAAACCAAGTGTTTGTCGGCTAACAACTTTGAAATCAGACTTATCAGAGTCCAAAAGATATTCTCTGAAATAAAATCAATATATGAAATATCTTGCTAGTCTCTAAAGCAACAATGCCGGCTACATGTGGGACTATTTAAAAAGTTTAAAGAATCAAAGTGAAACTTATCCGGAAACCACAAACAAAACATTATTCACGGTGAGACATTGCTGTGGGAGTGGAAGTCATAGCCAGCTGTTATCTAGCATTGTTATTTGAAGTACGATAATAGCACAAACAAAACATTGATCAAGTTCTTTTGTTCTGCCAGCCAAATTCCTAGAAAAATACTATTCCAAAAAAATTAAAACCTTCAAATGTGCTATATCCATGTTGTGTATAACAAAGGGTGTAAATACCTGCACAAGAAAATCTGTAGTATGGGTTTTCCTTACATGACTTTCGCCCTTGCAACGCAGCCAAGATTTGTGAACAACTATTATGAACTTTCTCATGAATTGAGTTAGATTTACTATTAGAATTCCATTCATTTCATTGTTAATAAATAGTATCCTCCATTTTTTTTCAAAAGGTTACTTTTTTATTAATTTGACATCATTCTCTGAAAGAACACGTTTGTCAGGACTGGAATTCTTAGGTGAGATTCGCAGCCTGTGACAATGACGGGATTTGAACATGACTCCTAAAGAACTTTTATCACAGATTAAGGGTACTGGATTGAAATCTTTAGGGTCTGTACATGTATGTACTATTTAGGCTGCATGAGCCCCCTGTAAGAATTGTGAAATCATAGGTCTGGATCAGATGGCTGTTGGTATCAAGCTTTTGGTTAAAATAAATCACAGCAATACCATTCTTTGAAAGAAAAATCATGATCGCAAAGACTTTCGATAAATCAACTTAATGGCAAAATCAATATCCTACTGAGCTGTCTAAGACATCATGCAGATAACACAATATATCACTGTCATGTACGTACATTTCAAAACAGTGACTTACAAAGTTAGTGACATTGACTCACGAGGCTAGCTGTCTTCATCAGCTCGAGTTTGCCAAATAACCTGCTATTTAAACTATCCCGATCGCAAATTAACCAGTTAATTTGTGCTTCGATCATCAGCCCGCAGTAGCAATAAGCGGGATATGTGGTCAAGATATCTTGCTATTTGGGTAAAAAGCGGGCTAATTTGCGCCTGTCCGAGCTAGTTTGTGATAAGCATATCGGTCTGGTGAAGACGCAATTGCGTTGATTTTTTTAAATCTTTGCGATCGTGTCAAAACCTCTACCCTCGGAACTCACCTGTATTTCTGTATCGGCTATCTTGATTCTAATATTGATCAGCTCCCCGAGATCAGGACTATCCGGGGCCGCTGGGAGGGAAGGACTTTCAAGGGTGCCGTTGGGAACAGTTCTGGTCCCGTTGGCGGTCCCGTTGGTCTTCCCAAAGGGTAGCTCCATCGCCATTTTGGTCTTGGCCTGGGTCCGACTCACATAGTCATCCTATTTCAATGAACAAAATGAGAGAGACAATGAATGGTTAGAGATATCTTTTAAATGATAGGCACTTGGTCCTGGTCTGTCCAGACAGTGCTGGCATTTGTTGATGGACTTGGATCTGTGAGCACGCTTGGTTCTGGTCTGTTTCACATGGTTATCCTATTTCATGGAACAAAATGAGAGAGAGAAAATGAATGGATAGTCTAGATATCTTTTACATGATTATAGGATGCTTGGTCCTGGTCTGTCCAGAGTCCCGACAGTGCTGGCATTTGTTGAAGATCTCGGATCTGTGAGCACACTTGGTCCTGGTCTGTCTCACATGGTTATCCAGATTCAAGGAACAAATTAAAAGAGATAAGAAATGGTAAAAAGATAAACTTTGATGATGAAGGACATGGATATACTCTACTGCAGACTCTGCTGGGAGGGTGTTGTTAAAGGTCCAGGATCTGTTCATATGGTAAAGCCGGTCTAGTGGATTGAGTCCTCTGCATCAACTAGTCTGCGTCCAACCCTAGCCTTTAAACCAGCATCTAGAACCTGTAATGCTTCATTGCATAACACTACCATTACATCCAATTTGTTCCAAGAAAACCCATTACTTTGCTAATCGCCACTATGCAATGGTCTTCACTGTAGAGATATACCTACTTTCTGACAAAAGAACAAATAACAAGACACTTATCTTCACCTTAAAGAGAACTTTGAGTTCTGGTAAGAGGTGAACAATAATTTGTGGGCGTTATCATTCTTATTATGCAAGTGTGGAAGAACATCAGATAAGACATGTTCCCTGAAAAGCAGGGCTCTTCAAATGCCTTCATATTCTAAATAAGGTATGTCATGTAACATCGTAAAACTCGGGGGTAGGATTTTTACGCCACGTGTTCGTGTAGTCCCATATCTTTCTGTGAACAGTGTTTGTAACTTTACCAAGACTTGGCCAAATTTCTTATCATTTTGATGATTCCAGAACCTTGTAATACACACAAGTGCTTATATGCTAGATGATCAACCTTTTCTGGTCGATTCCACACCGTTTCTTTCACAATGCAATCGCATGACCAGAACTCAACTTCATCTTTAATTGCGATACCAGTCTGTAGATTGTTAAGAAATTGAATGTCCCATGGACAAGTCTTTCTAAACTTGACCACACCCAAAGAGGTATCTTAGCGTAGGAACAATAACTACCACTGAAGAGGAGCCCTCGTGGAGATGGTGCACAAAATGTCTACAAGTATAATGAAACTAATGGTGATGATCTACAGCAAGAGAGACTACTGTACAAGTAGGCCCATAGGTATGTATGTTCTTGATTTACAGATTACAATCATGCTAAAAGCCACTATAATGTGGCTCCAAGATTACATGTAGATAAAAGGGAAAACAAACACAAAATAATGTGCATGGGCAATGTATGTGACATTGGTTACCTAGACAACAAGATGCTAAACATTTACTGATTACTACAAACTATACTAGTACGTTCCAAGGTAACCTAAAATGTGATCAAAGATCATTGGGGTCATAGATTACATAACATATTTTTCTTTCTTCTTTGTAGCAATTCTGGTTTATGAGCCAATAAAAATGATTAAGTGTGACAGGACAACAGAATCTTGTCAGAATAAAACCTTAGAAAAAAGAAAGCTTAATTCTTTTTACAGACAACTTCTCAAAATAGCATTACAAAAACAAACAAACAAAATGCCCCTCCCCCTTTACACAAAAAAGCAGTTTATAAATAGTAGGGATTATTATATAATTATTTTTTTGGCTTTCTGCAAGAATGTTGTTATACTGCATTTGACAATATATATCTCTTACTCCCTTTTTTGCAGGCAGAAGAAAAATTATTATAATCAATTTTCAACAGAGTAAACCTAATCCAATATATTGCGTATTAATGCACTGTCATATTCAAATTTAGCAGCCACTAATTTCATTTTATAACCCAGACTATACATGTCATTACACTTTTATTATTAGAGTACATCCATGGATCAAGCGCACAAATTAACCAATTTAGCTCAATTCAGCAGGGAAAATGGCTCATTACCTGGACGTCATACCAGACTGGTCTCCAGGTTACTGGGAAAGATTACCTTATGCACAGGTGTACGTGGGAAATTATACACTAGTGTCTGGTGCTTGCAAATAAGATTTTATTACCTTTTCATATTGTTTATTTAGCTTTTTTAATTTCATTTTAGATTCACTTTATCTGCATTGGCCAGCCGATGGAACAAGAACAACAGAAGTGGACTGCAATGGTCAACGTTTGTCACGCTTATAAATGTTCATATTTTAAAATATACTCCACCACAAAGTGGAAATCTTGGATGTCACTCAATAGCAAACACATATTTAAAGGGGGAGTCCACCCTGATATTATTTCAATCTGATTGCGCTATAATCTTTCACTGACTACCTGTTCTTCTCATTTTTGTTTGCTTCTATTAAACTAACTTAATATCAGGGTGGACTTCCCCTTTAAAGCTTACAGAAAAAAGTGGAGTCTTATCAATCAGGCCTACAAATGGATATAACATTGGTCCACAGTCTTTTCACAAACACTACCATGTGCTTATTATCTGAGTTACCAATTGTAATTTATCAATAATTTGACGCCAAAGCTGATATGTTGTATCATGCCGGCTTGGTGTAAAAAGGACAACACCTTCACAGATCATGTGGAAAATATTAACCTTCCTCCTTACCATACACAAATTAAACACACTCTTAAATATTTCTCTGACTAGTCTAAAGCTTGGTGAGGAATAGGATTTTTCTGTGTGAACAGGTTAAAGAATAGGATTTTTCTGTGTGAACAGATTTAGGAATAGGATTTTTCTGTGTGAACAGGTTTAGGAATAGGAATTTGCTGTGTGAACAAGGTTTAGGCGATGGGATCTATTCTTGTTAGTAAACAAAAACAATCCCCTTTTCCTCTAGGATCAATTAAGACAGTCTTTAATTAGGATAGAGATTGGGAAGCGTTGCTTAGCAACCATCAACAGGGATCGAGAAATTACAATGCTACGTAGTCAGTGGGTGCGCGATGACGTGATTTATGGTGAATTACGAGGAGGAGAAATTGAGCGCTAATTCAATTTAGGAGGTTGATCTTGCGAACAGTAATCCTCCGACTGGCTACAGCAGTTATGCACTATGCTGGTCAGAATTTAGATACTGTATGATTTATGATTCTGACCTATGCACAGTAAGTGTAATGTACTGTTATTATGGAATTGAAAAAACCATTGCTAGCTCTGCAATGTCATGCACTATACTGGTGAGAATTCAGTTATGATTTAAGAGTCTGGTTTAACGCACCAATAAATGTACAGTTATTATGGAATAGGAAACTCATTGCTAGCGCCGTTTTAATTTTAGGCACTATATTGGTCAAAATTCAGATATGATTTACAATTCTGACCTATGTATAATAAATGTAATGTATATGTTATTATGGAATTGGAAACTCATTGATACCACTGTAATGTTATGCACTAATGATACTGGTCAGAATTCAGATATGATTTATGAGTCTGGTCTACACACCAATAAATGTACTAATGTTGTAGAATGCTGGAACTTTAATTTTAGGCACTATATTGGTCTAAATCCAGATATGATTTATTATTCTCGCTTTAATACGCACCAATAAATGTAGTTACCATGGAATTGGAAACTCTTGCAAGCTAGCACCGCAATGTTGAGCACTATATTGGTCTGATTTAGATATGATTTATGATTCTGGCTTACGCACCAATAAATGTACAGTTACCATGGAATCGGAAACTCCTTCGCTTGCCTGATTTCAAAACAGAAAGAGTGAACAGGATTTCAATGCATTTGATAACATCTGAGTTTCAATTAGCATACATACAGTAGTAGCTAGTTCACCTCATACTCTTTTATCCAGTGCCTAAAATATTTAAATCGTCCAATTATTCCCTGAAACAGAATCAAGCAGCGCTTATTTGTACACAACATGTTGAATGCACATTATTTATTTTCTTTATGACAAAGAAGCAAAACAAAATACCTAAATACATCTTGTACGAGATCATACAAGGAACACATGATATTTTGTGCCATGACAAAAAGAAAAAGAATATGATACAAAAATGAACAAAATAAAATAAAGTTAATGGAAAGACTTCCTAGGTGAAAGTAAACATATAATTTGCAATTTTTCATGGAGAAGAGAAAAGAAAAGGTCACACTTTAATAATCAATCAATGACATATGATATCATTGGCAATTAGCTGTAGATTCAATGTTTAACCTATTGACTTCTGGAACCATTAACTCCTGTGTTAAACCAATGGGAAGGAGAGAGTTTTACTGGCAAGGGGTTAAGTTGACTTTCTAACCAAACCCATGCACCACGCCTTCTTGACTGCTATACGACGAAAGACTAAACCCAGCGGTTCACAACGCAGGCCTATCGACAAGATGCAGTTAGTTCATTAATCAGGAAATTATCCTTAATTCGGGATAGATATATGTCTACAAGAAGGATTTGTGCAAGACAAGCTATAAATAGAGGGGCTTAATAGTAGGGAGGAGAATTAAATCAATTATATCATTGTAATGCATGTTTCCTTTTAATTTTCACAGAACATCATTTAGAATTAACACACATGACACCCTGTGGTGCATCTACATTATGATTAAAAAGGAAGTGGTTCTAATTTACTTTTTGTTTAAAATAAACTTTAGGTACCTCTAAGGTAATTAGAATCTTGAAAATCTCCAGGAGTTTGTGAACGGGGAGGGGAGAAAGGTCAGCAAACTTTTTTTTACATAGAAATGAAAGAAAAAAAACGTAAAACTAAAAAGGTATAAAAATGAAAAGGTCATCCTATTGTGTGGGTGCATTGTTTACTCCTAAACAAACAAAAAAGGAAAGAAGAATTAATTAATAAAGGCTATCCTGTTTGAAGAGGTGGGGGATATTTTGAGGTTGTGTCCTTAGGTATGTCACT